GGGTGCTTTTCCAATCTCTCTACCAGATTCAGCTTAACAATGTAAGTGAGCAAGTTCAGGGTGGAACCACCTGGTGGGCTACGAGAAAGGAAAGTGTATTTACCCTGAGTTCAGGAGTGGAGGGTGAGTTAGTTAGGAAAACCAAGGTGCAGCAGAACTTCATATGAGAATGAGACACTGCCTGCCTGGCATCCAAAACTTCTAATGTGTTTTGGGCTTACATCTTTGGAGAAGAAAGGAGAAAAAGAAAAAAGAAAAAAAAAAAAGGGGTGGGAAGAGAAAAGAGACCTACTAACATTCAGCTATTTCCTAGAGCTGCATAATAAGTCCATAACTAAGATGCACTTCCGTGTTCAGCCATTAACTGTTTATTACTAGAAAACAAAGCAACAGCAAAAAAAATCGACATTGCTGTCAGTTTGTAGTGATGCAGTTTTACTTTGGAAATCATTAAATTCTCTACCACCCTGAAACTCCCACGTGCTGTTAGTATGTTGTTTGCTTTCCGATTTGAGCTATGTCCCTTGGAAAAGGTCAAGTCTGCAGTGTTTTTAGAATTTATGTTTATTTTCCCCAAGTGTGCAACTTCAAAACAGCTTAGCTACTAGCATCAGACTCTTCATGTTTAGGGCAAAATAGCCTCAAAAATAGCACCTAGGGATATGGAGTAGGTGGTGTATGAGTTCATGGGTTTATTACTTGCAATTTTAACTGAAATATATTCTAGGTTTTCATAATCTGTTACTTTCATCATACCATGGAATTGCCCTTCTTCTCATCACCCTGATGGACAACAGTCTCTGGCACTTCTAAACTACTCTGCTAAGTTAGTTAGCTTTTAAAAGGAGTATGTGCTGCTTTGGTATATCTGGGTATTAACCTATTGTCTGTAGCATCAACTATTTTGATTTATCACTGCAGTGATCTCCTATTATCTTCTGTATCTCAAAGAAGATAAATTAAACTATTTGCCAGTCTGAATTTTCACTAAAGGGAGCACTTATATTATCATTTGGTCAGCTCCTAGAAAGGACCAGGTAGTTTCCAAATGAACTAGCATAAACAATGGACTCTTTCTGATTCATTCTCCTGGAAAGTACCGTCACTTTGTTCCCAGGGATTTTCATACATTTAGCTGTATGTGATGAACACCAAAAAGTCCTGCCTTCCCTCCGTGGCATAGGCATGTTTTGGGAGATTTGCCCAGAGTGCCAGGGCAGAGGAGGAAGCTGAGTTTGTGAGTGTGAAATATCAGGGTGGTATCATGTATTCCAGACCTGTGATGGAGGTTGTATCTGGCTGGCTTAATATGAAAAAGCCACAGGGTGGGTGTTTTTGCATACTGTCTGTCATTTCAGCTTTTTCCATTTGTGAAAGTGTGTGTGTGTGTGTCTTCTTCATGAGCACTGAATCTCTGAGACAGAGTTCTGTGTTTACAGTTACTCGCTACTGCAAGGCATCTGCAGCTAATTTGCCTAGGCATCATTCTGCTCCCCAGCCTCTGCTCCAGGCGTTTCTAATTTACCTGTTGGATTTTGAAGTTGGGAAAGAATAGAGCGCCTGCCAGCAAAGAGAGGCAGAGCAAGATCAGGTTTTTCCAAAGCAGCACAAGGCTGGTTAGGACTTGGCCTGTGCAGAACTTTGAGCTTGGTCTCACTTGTGCTGAGACTTTCTCCCTGCCTTGTGTCTACCAGCTGGTAATGCCTTGCATTTTCCTGCTTCTAGGCTTGGAAAATTAGATATTCCTTGAAAAATACCTTGGCTCTGGGAGTTTCCCAAGGAGTGTTTCTGTCATAACGTCTGTCTGAGGGATAAGCCAGGATCACTGGGAACAATCAGGATCAGTTGTTACAGTGAGTGCAGTGCATCTTCACTGAATATATCACTGTTTTTCCAAGAGAGGTCTCAGTTGCACTGCAGTGTAACACATGCTGCTTGATAGAATAATAATGGGTTGGGATATTTTCAGTTTTCTTTTGGATGTCATTTTTCACTCTGTATTGCTGGTCTTCTATTCACTTTTTTTCTTTGGAAGTGAAGAGATTGTGGGCTGCTGAGTTAATACAGAAAGTTGTTACTCACTCTCGTCTTGCAGTAGAAACAATTTCTATTTAATTGGTTAAAATTGTCTTCCTAGTGATCATATGTTGGACAGCTTCAAAGTGCTGTATTAGTAGATCTAGACACTTAATTTGAGCTGTGGTGACACATATCAGGCAAGGTGACAGCTCTGCCAGTGAGCCCTGTGTCCGTGCATCAGTGAATTTCTTTCTGAAGCAGATAATTGCAAGGATTTTAAACAAAGAATGTAATCTTTAGCCTTTGACAGTTTCCATATCTCCACCAAAAGTTAATGCCACTGTTCTTGCACTGTGGTCGAGTACTGTCACTTTTCTATTATGCACTAGGTCTTCATGAGCTGTTTGATATTGCTAATCCTAAGTTAAATCTAAGCAGTATCATACTTGAAGCTGACTTGCATCTTCCTCTTCCAGTCTTTCTTTTATAAGAAATCAATGTTAATGTGTAAAAGTTGGACATGCACAGCTATTTTACTATGTTAATTGAATTATGAAAAGCTTAAAAGGAAAGCTTTAGCACATCATTGTTAAAGGCTACTGATGTCTTACAAAGATGTTGCACTCTTAATATGGCAGTATATTACTTGTGTGCAGTGATAGCTCTAATTGGAAACCTAATAGGATACAAGAGAATTATAAAACTATTACTAATGATAATATATTTTTAAAGTCTGTGGGATTTTTTTTATTGACAGTCCTTTGGGCTGAAGCTGGAAATAAAACGTGAAATGTTGAACTATATCTCACTGGTTCAGAGGGCTGTATTCAGTGCTAATCGCACATCCCATTTCTTGAGTGCTGAAGTGCTCTCTGTTGGCAATTCTGGTGATATAAATTCCTACAGTAAATCGGTGCTAACGAAGTTCAAGTATCTGTTCCCGTTCAGTAGCTCCACCTTTAGGGGAGGGAGGAAGGGGAGGATGATTGCCGGCACAACTTGCAGTAATGACAGTGTGTCAGTAGGTTGCTAATAGGTACATAAAGAGGTGATTCCTTGGAGTGGTGGCTAAGTGTGCCCTAGAGAGTCCTTTTCAGTGAGTTTGCTCGGTTAAGTCGGTGTCTTTCCAGAGGCAGAGCTTCCCGTTGAAATACAACACTTTTCCAGTCTAAGGCACAAGTGGTAGCTGGAGAGTACTGAGTGCCCAAATATATGGACCTGCATAGGACAGGGACAAGTCGTTAAGGTGGAGTGGGATGCCAGGAGTGTTCAGGATGGAATGGCTTTTACTTTAATTTAATACTGATCTTGAGCTGTGTGGGGTTTTGTGTTCTGGAGAGAAGAATCTTTCCCTTGTGGCTGATGCATCATTTGCAGAGAATCTGTCTTAGTTTACTGCTTTCTTACATGATTTCCTTTCCCTAGAAGCATGCTTTTAGTCATAACTTCACAATTGTTGAATTATCTAGCACCAACATATTGTGAAATTTTATTATTAGGTTAATCCGGGGAAAAAAAACCAACAAACCAAAACAAAACAGGTTTGATAACAGAATTAATTCCCTTTCTCTCTCCTGATTCTCATGCTGTCAAGAACATGTTCACCAGTACTGGGAAGAGCAAGGGAAAAAATGTCTCTGATCACTGTTGTTATTATGACAATTTATGTTCTTGCAATTGTACATCTGTTTGTAACGTTGTTATTAACACTTGGTGATTACTCTGGTTCCCTGCATGGTAATCAAATGCATATTGTCATGTGTATATTGAATTTATTGTATTGCCTTCCCTCTCAAGTAATACTGCTCTATGATTATACTGATATGTAAAGAGCCTGTTTTTTACCTTCGGTCTTAGAGAAGCCTTCTTAAAAGAAGGAGGAAAGAAGAGCAAGGCTAGTTTTCATTGTATTAGGATCCATCCCCTTCAGAACAAGGGGAGAAGAGATTTCTGAAAGCATGGTACATCCATGATGGAAAAAGCTGTTTCAGCACCTCCCATAATGCAAAAGGTTTTTCCAGCTCTGGCATCTTACAAACAAAATACTACCATAGCAGTACAGAAGGGAAGAGGCAGCAAAGAAGTCCTACACATTAATGGCTTTATAGATTGAGTGTACTTGGAAATACTCAGTCACATATGGCACACTACTGAGTACAAGTGTCTGAGGATATCAGTAAAACTAGCTTTACCAAGCAGACGTTTGATCTCTGCCACACCTTTAGTTTATACTGCTTGTAGTGAGCTGTTGGCAGATTAGGCAGAATCTCAAATAAGCAGAGCTAATTTGAGAAAGTGCTGTTTTAATTTGACAAAATGATTTTAATTCCCCCTAAAATAAGCAGTTCCACAATTCAGGCAATATCAACAGGGTAAGATCATGTGGCCTCATCTTAGAAATCAGTGCAGCAAAATGATAAAAGTGTAGAAAATTTTGGCATTTCAGTATCATCATTAATTTAGCTTCCTTCAATTATACTGTGAGCCTTGTTTAACAATATTGCTGGATATATTTTAAAGAACACACAAGATTTTAAAAAATGAACATAAATCCTTAATTTGTTTAGTATGGTCTTTAATGTGATACAGTTTTATTAAGACTGAGATGTAAGAGCCATTTCTGAAATACAGTAGGAAATTGTTCTTTGAAACTTAGCTCTTGTGTTGTGTTGATAGTGTAGTATGTTTCAGAGTAGTTCTGAGCAATGCTGCTCTTGTAACTGTCAAAAGAGAAGATGGAAACCATACCCCACCTCTAGTTTCTCAGCTTTGCTAAACAGTCTGGAATTCTGATAAGTTCGGATAAGATCTCAGAGTGTTTGAAAGCACTCAATCTTCTTTTAATCCCCGTCTCTAGTTCTGCTGGTGTATGAAGAGTAATACTGAAATATTTCTTCCATACAGTGCTTGAAGAATGTAAGAAGTCATATTTATTTGAGCTGTGGTAGTATTTCTAAATGATTTTGTTTTTCCTCTCTTAGCGCTGGGCCCAAAGGTGATAACATCTACGAATGGAGATCAACCATTCTAGGACCTCCAGGTTCAGTCTATGAGGGAGGTGTTTTCTTCCTTGACATCACATTTACACCAGAATATCCCTTCAAGCCTCCAAAGGTAAGAGACCTGTAGCTAACATCTTAAGTCATGAGTGCTAAACATCAATAGCATGTAGTGTTAATGGAACATAGCCCATTTGAAATCCACTCATTTTAGACATTACAGGAGTTTCTATTAACTAATGTTAACAGCTTTCCAGTCCTCTTGATAATTATTTTAGAGCTTGTTTTCTTTCTTCCTGCTTCTGTTTAAAAGTAGTGCTCAGCATTTAGTGTAAGCATTGGGACAGGACTGAGAAACTGAGAAGTAAATAAACTTGAGATGAGGAGAAATGCTACTAATACTTATTTCTCAAACAACTCGTGTACTGTTAAGCATGAGTTACATGTGTTTTGGCCACCAAAGCAGTATTTAATTTTTCAGTTTTGTTGGACACTTTTGTTGTTCACCTCTTTGTACAGTAACAAACTTTCTGTAGGGGTGTTGTATTTGTGAAGCTCTTACATTCCAGTGTTGTTGTGTTCCAGTGCTCTAAGGCAAATACCAGTGCAAGTGAATGTAATCCAGTGATTCCAATATGTGACCACAGGAAAAGTGTTGGGTTACAAGAGGTGCTTGTGTATACACTCGGTGTTTGTCTTGTATCTGAAATCATTTATGTGCATGTTTAACTTTCTACTTAAAAGTTGTTTGATTGATGAGATACATGCCAATGGCTGCACCATCTTTCAGGCTTTGGTCTAGTCTGCAGCAGAAAGGACTTCTTTAGGCCATCAGTCCCTCTCAAGAGAGCAATGCTAATTGCTTACACAAGACAAAGACAAGCTTGCCAAATTAAGGAAACTGCCTGTTCTTGCTCACATAACTTCAGGGTTTCTGGTAGTACCAACATCCTTAAAGATCCTTAAATTCTGCCTTTAAGATAGGGCACCCATTCACAAACAGCGTGGTCTACCTTGGGACATCTCTAGTGCTTTTCTGCTGACATCTGTCCATCTCTTTTTGGAGATTCTCTGGCAACACAGATGGTTCTCATGTCAGAATTTAATTCACTTTAGAGTAGTTTGTTTGATTGTTTATTTGTTCTTGGTTTTGTTTTGTTTAATTTGAATAATTTGTTGTCCAACCAACAACTGCAATTTATTATACTGTGACCCCAGTGAGCATTTAAAGAGGGATCTTCTGCTTTTCTCTGTGTGCTTTGTTACACCTTTGCTTTCTGTGCTACAGGTCAGAAGCATTTATCAGCCTAGGCTTGTTCAGACCCATCAGAGAATCCTGGAATGGTTTGGATTGGAAGGGGTCTTAAAGATCATCTAGTTCCAACCTCCTTGCTGTGGGAAGGTATGCCTTCCACTAGACCATGCTGCTCAAAGCTCTATCCAACATGGCCTTGAACATTTCCAGGGATGAAGCATCCACAGCTTTTCTGAGCAGCCTGTTCCAGTGCCTCACCACTCTCACAATAAGGGATTTCCTTCTAATATCTCATCTAAATTGACCCTTTTTTATTTTAAGACTATTACTCTTTGTCCATGCCCTTGTAAACAGTCCCTCTCCAGCTCTCCTGTGGGCCCCTTTAGGTGTTGGAAGTCTGCTCTAAGGTTTCTCTAGAACCTTCTCCAGGCTGAAGAAGCCTAGCTCTCTGAACCTCTCTTCATAGGAGAGGTGCTCCAGCCTTTTGATTGTCTTGATGGCCCTCTGCCCTCTTCTGGACTCACTCCAACGGTTCCATATCCTTCTCTTGTTGAGGGCCCCAGAGCTGGATGCAGCACTCCACAAGTGTTTGTGATTGCCAGATACAGGTGCAAGGACCTTGCATATGGCCTTGTTGAACTTCATGAGTTCTCAGGCCCACCTCTCTCTGTTCCTCCTAGGCTACCTGTTCTTGCTTCCACTTTTTGTACAGTTCCTTTGTATGTTTGAGTTTGTCCAGGAGCTCCTTGTTCATCCGTGCAGGCCCCTTCCCCTTCCCTGACAGATGGATCCCATCAGTGCTCAGCAGACCAGGTTTTCCAAAGCAAGTCTCATGGTCTAAGTAGCCAAACCCCTGGCTGGTGGCACCAGTCCCATAACCATTTGTTGGTTTGCTAGATGTGACTAGCCTTTTTGAACCCTTTCCCTTTGACCAGGAGGACTGATGAAAAAACTACCCATGTTCCAGAGTAGTTTCCTGTTACTCCCAGGACTGCCTTATTTGGCTTTAGTGTCTTTTCTGATACAATGGGTGTTTCCAATCTCAGAGCAGCAAAGTGGTTCTGTGGAGACACTCAGTCTTTGGGGGGAAGTCTTTTCCTGCAGCTCCTTGCCACGGCAAGCTTCCATTCTCCTGCATTATTGGCCCCTCTCCCTTCCCCGTGTGCCAGTGGGGGTTTCTGGCTGTTTGGCTGTAGGCTGTGGGTCCAGTGCAGTTTGGAACCAGCTGCACTCTTAACTCCTTCTCAGCAGCCCTGATGCCACACAGGCTTCTCACTGCCTCCTCCAGCTCAGCCAGCTGCTGCAGGAGGTCCTCCACCTGGGCAGCACCTTTTGCAGGCAGACCTGCTAGCTGTCCTGTCCAGGAGAAAGGTCTCAGCACTGCCTGCAGTCTGGGGTCCACTGTGCAGCCTCTCTCTTCAGCAGCTCCATCTGGGCAGAAGTGTCTGCCACTGGCAGTGTGGATGGTGCACACACACCCCAGCCAGAGTTGCAGCCCTTGCTCTCAGGTGTGTTCCCACTATGCTGCTTCAAGGGTCAAGTAGGATGCCTTGCAACCACGGTCCAGTTGGGTCCAGTAGGATCCCAGTAACTACCAGAGCTACTGAGACAGCCCTACGTGCCAAGTTCCCCAATGCAGAACCAAACAAACAGTTGTCATTCCAGCTGAGCCCTGCTTTCTGCTCAGTGCTTCTGACTGAGGTCCCTTTGTCTTTATCTTTGGATCTAAACCCTCACCCAAATGAAAAGAAGGGTGGGATTAAAACACCAGACAGGTAGGCACCACTTACTGAGGCCTTAAAAGTCAAGTTTAGTGGCGATTCATTGTATTGTAGCAGTTTCATTTAAATGGAGTCTTTTATCTAGCAAAGTCCAAGTTGGTTTACAAACCACATGTAAGCATGGAAATAGAATACATGTAGCTTCAGTCTCATTGAGATGGTATATAGGAGAAGGCATGGTGGTGCTGTAATAGAACACACTTTTTGTACTTGGGCACTTCAAGTTGAAATGAAGAACCTTCCTTTGAGAACCAAAGCTGCTCCTGTATTAAAATCTCCACTAGTGTTAATCAGTGGTAATGTGGAAAATATGATTATCATATCGCTCATGCTTTATTCCTGCTATTTTGTTGATTTCAGACTGTCCAACTACTTGAGGTAGTGAGTAAATACTGTCTGTGGATCGTGTTTAAGAGGTAGGCTAATGTAATTACAGTAGCCTTCCTATAAGTGCCTTTTAGGGCAAGAAATAAAGAAACAGCTAGTTGAAACAAAACCCAATGTATATCACTTTGATGATAAGCATTCACAGAACAGTAGAGTCATTTTTAAAATAGAGTAGAAAGTAATTTTAAAACCCTTGATCTCTGAAAAGGTGAAGTTCTGTAAGGAAAAAGGAAAGAGTAACCTTTGAATCTTCCTTTGTAAGCCCTAAAAGACCAGTGGAAGAAAACCTCTATGAGCCTTTGGTAACTCCCGTGAGGACAGTTCCTGCTGTGGTGGGCTGCTCAATGGTGAGGTGCCTGTAGTTGGACAGATTTCATAACCTGAAAATGAAATGTCATTAAAGGATTTACTTTCTTAAATAAAGAAAATGGTCATCCTGGCAAGCTTCCAAGCCCTTAGGAATATGTGTGAGAGAAGATGTTGAGGCATAAACACTGAGAAATGCTGTGTGGTTGATGAGCATCTTAGAGGTGTGTGATGAAGGATATACAGGTGTAGCCTTTGAGAACTGGGTCTAGCTCCAGCTGAGGGTTTGATTCAGCATACTGAAGCAAATGTTTTTGGAGAGGATGTTGCTGTAAGAGAGCCAAAAGTCTATGCTAGAAGTGATATTTAGATTCCTGTGAGGATATTAAGAGAGGGACTGCACTACTGTGCTTGAGGTTGGAGAAATGAAAGATCTTAAAATTTGACTTGGAAATGTGTTGCACAGTACAAGGAACTTCAGTGGGAGAAGTCTGATACAGGGACAGATACTCTCTTTCATGTCCTAAATATGTATAATGGAGTTCTTTTGCACCTAATTGAGCATTCTATACAATACCTTGAAAATGCTAGTGTTAATCTGTTTGCTGCTTTTTATGCTTTCTCATTTTGTGTTGTATTCTGGTTTTACTGTGTTTCAGATAGTAAATGAGTCAGGCATGTGCTGGGTGTGCTTGGATTTAGGAGAATCCAATAAACAAGTATAATTAGAATTTAAGAATTCAGTATTTGTACTATTATAATGGACATTTTCCCAAGAGTTACATTATAGTTGGGTTAGATTTCATTTACCGAGGTGAAAACAGTAGCTTGTGTTGACCTGGTGTGTGTGCTTTGATCATTTATATTAATAACCTCTAACCACTTCCTTCCACCCACTCCTATTCTGCTGCTTGTGTAAATTAACCTCTGCTATCACTTCAGGGTAAGGTTGAGATTAGTTTCTTTTATGTCTTTTCAAAAGCTGTGCTTAACTCCATGTAGTTACTCCATTAATGTAATCTCAGGTGGGACATTTCCAAATGATTGTTCAGTTACACTGTATTTTTCTGCTATTCCACATGCTGTTCTCTTCACTGCCTTCTAAGTAACTCAGTTTCTTTTGATTTTGGTCTGAATGTGCTAATTTTATGTGAGATTTTTTTTTCCTTTTTAGGGTGTAATGAGCATTTACTTTAAATGTTTTTGTTTGTTTTCAAGTGGGCCTCAAATTTCTCCCTCTTCCAGTTTCATTTGGTTTCCCTGCACTGCTGGCTTTTGTGCCATCAGCAAAAATTGTAAATGGCAAACAGCTGGACTGCATGTGTCTAACACCATCCTAGTTCTGAGTTGCTGCTAAAGTGATTTTTGATTAGATTTTTTTCCACAGTGCTTGGTAGAGTTTCTCTAACTGGAGAAAACTGTTTTTAGTGCCATGGATATATCCCTTAAGGATTGTCTCTTAAGGTGTGTTAAGGAACCAGGCTGTTATGCAAGCATATGGGAGTCTTCGTTCACTTTCGCTTTCCCTCCTTCATGAAAAATAATTTAAAAATAAATCTAACTCTTAAAGGCAAACAGCATTCATGCTTTGTTATCAGTTATTAGTCAACTCGACTGAGAGACTGTCTACAGAGTATTTAGCTTTTGTGCTGACAATCGGGATTAACAACTTTCTGTCTTTACAAATTAGAACTGTTGACCTATGTTAATTTAGTCCTTATTGTATCAGCTTGGAAATACTCCATGCTTCCCTTCTGCAAGTGTTTAAACTGTCAAAATTGTTACCTTGCTTACAGTTCAAAACCTTCTTGGAAGGAGACCAAAGGTGCAAGTCAAACACAGAAATCCTGAGCAAGCAGCAGGGCTGGGCTGAGGGCTGGGCTGAGGGCTGCTCAGGAACCCAAGGCAGAGCCACTGCCAGCAACTGCAAATGCCACGAACGTGTTTTGCCCTGAACGGTGTGGGTTGGGGCAGGTACAGCAGAGGCAGATCCGCCCTCTGCTCAGGCTGCTGCACGTGGACTTCCACATGACTGCAGGGGGTAATTGCTGCCTTTCCTCCGAAGATTAGATGATCTGGGAAACAAAGGTCATTTAGGTTTATGTCTGCTGTATACCTCTGAGGCTCCCTAGGTAGAAAGCATCAGGAGTTCTTGGTTTTGGAGTGGCAGCGTTTTTCAGAAGGTGTAGGAGGGTAACACATCTCTGCTCTCTTGCAGTCATTTCCCTGTTTCCCCCATAATGTGCAAATGTGCAGGGATTTGGAGTTTCCTTTGTTTGCTTCCTGTTTTAATCCAAAATCCAAGCAGCTCACAAGAAATAAAAAATAAAATCTCCCCAAGCATGCAGTGTGGGTGTCTCCTGTGTGACAAGTAACCGCTTTTGAAAATCCAAAAATAGCCCATGTGCTCTGTGCATTGGGAGCATTCTTGGAAACACTGCATGAATTCAGTGCACGGGGACATGCCAGTCACCAGGGTGCTGTAGCTGTCTCCCCTGTGCCTGCTCCCCGAACCTGTCACAGAGAGTGAGGGTCGCAGGCAAATTTTTTGTATCAGAAAGGCAGCAGAAAAAATGAAGCTTGACTGGCAAGTTTTTATGTGTGGGCTGGTCCCATTTTGGGAGAAAGCACTAGTGTGTTCTTGTCATTCCCCACGCTTACCAAGTGTGCTTTGTAAATACTCCTGTGACCTATAAACAGACAAGAAAATTTCTAGGTATGGATAGCTGACAAATTTAGAGGATTTAGGATATGAACCCACCAGCCTTTATTCATGCACATAATCCTAATCCATGCAAATTGCACCCAGTTTGTTGTGGCTGTTCACCCAGTGCGACAGGGTAAGGCCTCTCTGCAGGTCCCACGGTGTGCTGGGAACAGCTCCTGGTGTTTCCCTTTCCCATAACTTCTGTGGCAAGCTGTCTAGTGCAGTCACATCATGAAAATAAGTAAATCTAACTTCCCCCATTGCTGAGCCTCTTCGAAGTGATGGAAGCTGTGATTTCAAGTGCCCTTGCCTGTCTGGAGGATTTTACAAATCCCTGGGAGTCCAGGAGGAGAAAAATACTGATGTTAAGGCCCCGGGTCGTTTTGTCACTGGGAACAAAAAGACAAAAATTAATTTAAAATAAAAAAAAGTAGAAAAAAATTAAACCCACCACCGCCTGGGTTTTGCATTGACCGTGGAAGCTGGCTCCTGAGCCTTGCTGATTTTTGTGCTAAATCCGGCTCTTTGTGTTTCGGCCGCGAGAGGGCGGCGGCGGCGCGGGGAGCCCGGCGTGGGTCAGCCCGGACCCGGCGCTCCCGGCGCTGCTTCGCTCCCGGCCTTGGTGCTCCTGTGCTGTCCCTCCCTCCCCGCAGCCCGTGGCACCCGGCACACCCGCTCACCCCCCTCTCTTTGCAGGTAACGTTCCGGACAAGGATCTACCACTGTAACATTAACAGCCAAGGCGTCATCTGCCTGGACATTTTAAAGGACAACTGGAGTCCAGCGTTAACCATTTCTAAAGTTCTCCTCTCCATCTGCTCCCTCCTCACAGACTGTAACCCCGGTAAGTCCACCTGCCGCCTTGCATTCCTCCCAGCACCTAAATAACGTGGCCCTCCTCATTGCATTGGTGTAGGGCCAGCTCAGCTCATGCCTCCGATGGAGCACATTTCCCTCTCCAGGGCACTCAGAGAGGGGCTGGAGGCTGGCGAGGGGAGATACGCCTTTACCAGCCTGCTGTTCACTGCTCCTCAGGCTGACCCATGGGGAAACAAGTGATCCTTCTGCACATAAAAACTCCTTCCCCTTCCAAACTCATTCTTCACTGGTCTGTAAGGCTACAGTAATTCACTGACAGAGATTGAAGAGCTACAAACAGTTCTGAAAACAAGGGGGTTGACCTTTTACTTTCCATCTTCCATTTAAAAGAAGTGACCAACTATGCCACAAGTGGTCATCACTGCTGCTCTAACCTACCCGCTGTCCATACAAGTTAAGAGGAAATGTCTTCTTTTCCAAAGTCATTTTACGGGTTGCATTTTTATGTCTAAAGAGGAGAGAAATGTCAGATTTCACAGTGTACTAAAACCCTTCTTGAGATTTTATCTTTCCTAGAAGGCAGCTTTACATTGTTACAAGTACACTCAGCAGGAGTATCTCAGGCACCCTTAGAAGGAATTAAAATAAACCTGAAACGTATGAATTGGTGAAAACCCTCAGTAATGCAAAATATGACTGATTGTTGTGTCTTAAACTTCTTAAAACTTTATTGGCATTTCACTTTATTGGCATTAAATTACAGATTAGTACATCACCATAAATACACTAAATCAAAGAAGATACACATCATCAGTTCAGTATGTTTACGTTGTTGCAGCGTACCTTACCTGTGTGTTTGCCTTGTATGAAATTCACATTTCAGCTTTATTTAAAAGTTTTTATTCAGTAACTTGTCTGAAATAAGCACTGTGTTTCCTTTTCAGCTGACCCTCTGGTTGGAAGCATTGCCACTCAGTATATGACTAACAGAGCAGAGCATGACAGAATGGCCAGACAATGGACCAAAAGATACGCTACATAAATTGGATTTTCGTCAAACTCTTACATTATTTGTCTGTGATGGAAAGAGCTGCTTATGATTTTGAAGGGGTGGGGGGAGGGAGGGTGCTGGTAAAGAGTAGGGTATTTCTATAACAGATTTTATTCAGTCTTTTATTTCTTAAGATTTTGTTGTTGTAACTTAAGGTATCTTGCTACAGTAGACAGCTAGGATTTGGAATAGCATACTTTAAGACTGTAATTAGTTCAGCAATATTAGCTCACATATAGTACCGAGAAGAATGTAAACTTCTTAGACTTCTTTGGTTTTCAGTTTGCTTGCAATATGTAAAAGATTAAAACAGCTTAATTTTGTACAGGTACATAGGTTGACATTTATGTAAAAGTCCTTTCAAGACTCTACACACTGTTTTTGCTTTGTGTTTGTTTGGGTTTGAGGGATTTATTTTGTTCTGGGTTGAGTTTCTTTTTTTTTTTCTTTTTTTTTCTTTTTTTTTGTAAAAAGATGTTAAAGATGTTGGGATTGGTTTTTTTTCCCTATGGAGGGCACATTGGTATTTAACAAATCCTTTCTAAAGACTGTCATCTCATTATCTGTGATATGGAGAGGTGGATATATGGCCTCATATATGAAATGAGAAGTAGTTAATGTATTATTTTATAAGCCAATCTATCTTTGTGAAAAGAATAAAGGGTTTAATCAGGACTTACGGTAACCTGTAGTGAAATACCTTAAGCTGTTTAACTGTAAGGTGTGGAATAGGAGTCACTCAGTGGATTGGTTGTATGTTGTGGGCTACATAAGTCTGCATTTGTTACTGTGCTAATAAAAAGATGTTTAAAAAAAAGAAGAAGAAAAGATTTCTGCTTAGTCCCTTGCTTTGTCATTTTGCCAGAATGGTGTCTCTGTATACTTTGAAGGATTTATGCTGTGGTTAAGGACAAGCAGATCTGCAGGTGAGTGCACTGACTGCTGCTATTTTAAGAAGACAGTTCTAGACAACCGTGCAATGAATGACAGCATAAGGCCTTCACAACCATTCACTAAATGTTGTGCAGGGACCTGGCCATGAGGAGGTAACTTGCCACAGAGTCCACGATATTTACTTTTTAGCTTAAGTTTTCACAGCCTTTCTTCTGCAGGACTGGCATATTGTTTGAAAGTACAACCAGAAAAAGTGTAAGCTATCTGGAAGGGAAAGAGGCAGGAAATAAAAGCAAGAAATGAATGTCTTGATACTTTTCTGGTGGAGTGGTCTATTCACACTTGGAAGAGAAGGAATCATGTCCTGGTAAGGTAGCAGACAACACCGTAAAGGAGTATCTATAGATCCTTTAACTACCTATAAAGATTATCTCCTAGAGACATAGTGTTTACATTGAGGTGTGTAGCAACAGGGCAATTGCTTGTGGATATGGCATTTCTGACCACTCCCTTAAGGTAAAGGCCGGAAGCACAGATTCATTTTCACATGGTGAGTGCTTCACCTCACGACATTCTTGTGAATGAGTGGTAATCTGCACTCTTGGATTCGGTTTAGTACTTTAAAATGAATTCTGTATATATTTCATTTACATACTTCTTTTCCTATCTAGAAGATACAGAGCAAATCTAACTTGGTCCAAAGCAATCTGTTAATTAGGGATGTCCTTTCCTTTGCTGGGTGGGTAGTAGCACCATACCCTCATCCGGCTGAACTGCTGCCATTTGACACAGTGCATGTTTTGGTGTATGAGCTCCCTCAGCTGTTTGCCTGTTTGGTATATAGCTACATCACACTAGGAGCATCTCTGGTAATCTTTCCATCTCCTCTGCTGAGTAAAGAGGTAAATGGCTTAATCGCAGTAGGCTTTTGCCAGCTTCTTGCTTTGTGCCACCAGGACACGTCAAATTAACTGTTGTAACTGGTGGGGGCGACTGATTTGTAGAGTGTTTATTCGGCAGGCTAAGAGGCTGTAGAGGAACAGAGAAAGATGGTTTAGTTGACTAATTTGTTTTTCTTCTTTATAATATTTTTTTCTCCATTATCTTGTAAAGGAGCTCTGGTTTTGCAGAAGGTAAGTGATCCCAGTGACCTGGAACAGAGTTTGAGTCAGTGGAGCAGTAAGAACAAAATAAATGTTCTGCCCATTAGCTACTACATTATACTCTGTACTTTACTTATTCACCCTATGTAAAACTCCACTACAGCAAGTTTCATTTTTACTCAGTACCAGCCACTATGTGCATATCATTTGCAGAGGAGACACTAGATTTTCCATCACTTGTCAGTAAAACACTATGATATTTAGAAAAACATCAGAATAAGTTGATGAAAGAAAACAGTGGGTGGTGATTTTTTGTAGTATAAATGCTTCGAATGTTCTAAACTCTAAATTTAGCCAAATCAAAGAAAATGTGTTTGTGTTATGTAGACTATTTTGAAAAAACGGCCTTAGTAATTTAGAAGATATTGTTTCTCTTGCCTGTCGTAAAACATTGTCAAGTCCTAGGAGTCCAGTGGAGCAAGTGAGCAAGCTACACTTGCACTGCACAGCTCTGGCAGCCTACAGGTGACATCAGTCTTGGCAGAAGAATTGGCATCGAGTCTGCAGCATGCAGAGCTGGAAAGAAACCAGTCGTCCCCATTCTTTCCATCTCCAGGCATTCTAAGTTCACTCGGACTTGTCAACCTGCACACCCTTCCTTGCCTCTTGGGTCAGCTTTAGTGATGTGCTGTTAGTAGACATCTTCACTTTGATTGATCCAAGGCTGATTTCAAAGTCCCTTCCAGAAGAAGGGACTTGCAGAGCTGAAGAAGAGGAACATGACCTGTTCCTTGGTGAGAGGTTGCAGTGAGGAGATGAACCACTGCTTCTCTGAAGTCACCTCCACTTCCCAAGCATGCAGGCAGATACGGAGTCTTCTGGGCAGGAACAAGCCTGGAGTACACGTGTGTTCAGGAGGAAATGAGTGAGGAGGGAGTGTCATCCTGCAGCATCGCTGGGGACAATGACTATTACTGGCCAGGTGGGGGGAGGTCGTGCTATAGTGCTTACTCAGCTGCAATGTTGCAATGGAAACAATTGTATGTTCCTAGCAGGGCATTACAAGAGCTTGCTCATTCATAATTGCTCTCTTATCTTACTCCTTGGCCACAGCAATTCAAACTATATTGAGCAAACACATAAACAGTTTCGTCTACCTTCATTATAATGTAGGGATTCCTGCTTAATTTTTAGTGAAGTGTACTACTGCTCTGACATTAATAATGCTAAGAGACTTTAATAATGCTGACAGGCTTTATTAATCAGTATTCAGGAAGAGCGATACTATGAGCTTAATTGTGATCATTAAGCACACTATTTAGCAGTTATGATATGACAGTGCAAATATTGCTTGTGGTTTTGCTGATTCACAGTGAAATTCTCAGTATTTGTTCAAAAGAGGATGAGTTTAGTGGAAAATGCAGAAACAGTACTTCACTCCCTTTCCCTGCTCTTGCCTTCAAATATAAAGAAAAACTAGGATCAATTAGTACAGGAGGTTGTTAGATGCCAAAAACTGGCCTTCGTGTCTGGGAAAAGTTACTCATTCTGTCACTCTATATATCCCCTTTTGTTCAGTTTACTGCCAGACTGGCCTGGTACAGCAGATTCCTACAGCACACAGGTTTGCCATTGTTGAGCCAAACACAGCACATGCAGTTGTGCTCCTGCAGCCAGACCATGTGCAGCGCATGAAGACCGGGGCCGTTTGTTCAGGAATTTCTGGCTATTTGCCACAGGGATGTCTCCAAAAAGGCAGCCTCCTACCCTCCTTAGCCTCTACCTGCAGTCATACAGCACTTTGTACCAGTTATTATCTGGCCTAGGGAGGGTGGATTGCTGCAGCTTGCCTTAGCAGCCAGGTAAGCATGCCCTAAGCAGAGCCCAGCAATGCCTCCTGCATACAAAATACAAAATACAATTCTTAGTAAAATTACCACCTATGGCAATGTGACTGATTTGTAGTGGATATGCTGGAACAAACCCACAGCTATGTTGTCCTTAGGTTGTTGTTCAATCAGTGAGTGCTCTGAGAGCTTTTCTGGTTTCTACAAATGAATTCCTGACCTGAAAGCACTGCTTACTAGACTTTGTCGACAAGGTACATGTTGGGGTAATTACCAGAAGATGTGAATAGTGTTTCTTTTATGATTTTGTTGGGTTTTTTTCCTTCCAGACACTTGCAGAACATCAGTGGCTAAATCTAACTGTTTCTCCTGTTCCATACCCTTCTCCTACAGCAAGAAACTGATCTCAGCTTCTTGCAGCATCAAAAAGCCCTGTGGCCCTGTTTAAAGTCAAGGTAAAAACTGTTGCCATTTCAAATATATCACCCTTCCAAATTGAATGCTTTATTGCAGCTAATACTTTTTGTGACTACAGGCTATAGATCTGCAGGAGGATTATATACTGGTAAGCTTGTTGATTTGTCCCTCAACATGGCTGTATCCAGGCATAGTAAAAGCCTCTGCTAGAGAGGTATCCATCTATCCCTTCCTCCTCCATAACCCTGGTTGCAAAATAACTGCCCTCATAAAGTGCTTTTTGAGGCTTTGTCACCAGCAGCTTTTTCAAGCCAAGTCTGTGAGAAGGAAGGATACTTCTTAGCTATAAACTTGCTGATTTTATTGCTGAATGGTATTATTGCTTTAAGTGAAACTGCAAGAAGCAAATGGCACAAAAAGGACTTAGACTGTGACCTGGCAGCAGGAGACAATGCTAAGCTAGTCTAGTTTTCACAGTTATTCCCTTTGCTCTTCCTTCCAGGCAAGGGAAATGTTGATTTGTTCTGGGACTGGGAGAGCTTGCTAGCTAAGAAGGTGAAGGGTTCAAGCAGTGTTTTCCGATCTGTCACAGTCACTTCCCACAGTCTCACTTTCTCAGTCCTTGCCCATTGCTGTGCTGCTTCTGTTTCCACTTGCCTTTGGTCCAGGAGGTCAGTTTTGTTTCCCAAGACAATAACTGCAACCTACAAACCAAACAAGAGGATGAGCTTTATACCAAAACCATCCACCAGTCACAATCCTTTTAAACAGCGGGCAAGTAGCAACACAGTTCAGACTTGTTCTGTAACAGCACTGGCACAAGGTAAGTTGCATGTAGTTTGAAAGATCAGGGTCTGGGATTTGAATTAGCCTCATCTACTTATGGGTTGGAAGCTTGTTTTAATTATAGGATATGCAGCACTTCCCCTTCTTGACACCCCACTCCCCGCCCTCAATGATTGCTTGAAGGAAAACAATACCCAAGAGATCCAAAGTTAAACAGCCCTATTCTCCACTTACTTGGCACTTGAGCTGCCCTAGACAAATGATAAGAGCATGACATCCGAGTAGGTCACAGCAGCAGATGCTTGAGAGATGAAAAAATGCAGAGCAGCAAAGAAAGCCTGGATCCCACAGTGGTGGATTTTGCCCTGTTTGTTTCTTTCCCAAGCCCCATCCTGCAGTATAAATAAAGCCAACCATGCCAGCAGCCCGGGCAGGCTGGGCTATGGGGCCCCTTTCCCAGCTCAGCCCTGCTGGCTGCCCAGCCCCAGGCACCAACAGCCACCCAAAGGACTGAAGGGGACAGTCTGCTGAGAGGGGCAGATAAGAACCAGCAGCATCCTCAGGGGAGCAGTTTCAAGAGCAGCTGGTTAGCTAAGGAGAGCAGCACAGTGGTATCAACTCAGATCTGCAGTTGTAAGGCTCCATCAAGTGACTTGTGTATCACCCAGATAGTCCAGTGGCTGAGCTCAGTAAGTGCATGAAGCCTTCCCAGTGCTTCAGCTCTAGAAAGTGCCAAAGGCAGTGCTGGCCACGTGAAGCTACTGCTCCTCCTTATTATAAGTT